AAACTGACCTATCTTCATAGAATTGGGAATAGGGGTCTTTAAGGTATACTATTAAGGCTTGGCTGAATTTTTGATTCAAAATAAGAGACTGAGTGATAGTTTTTATTGAAACTATAAACTGGGTAGAGTGGTTTTTAATAGGAGACTTTACATAAAATCGAACTAAAGGGTCTTGGTAATAATATCGATAGGTGAAATCCGTTGATAATATTCTGTTTTGATCTTTTATGCTACAATTTTCGATTAGCCATTGAATAATCTTTATTGGTACATCTTTTTCATTGTAATATGGTATTCTAAAATCTTTAAATATGAATAGATTGATAAGTGACAGTATAATATCTTGTTTTCTTAGTTTAATAAGCGTCGAAAAGTGATTAATAAATCCTTCCATTTTGAATTTTTCACCAAATCTATATAAGTTTCTTGTATCTGTCATACCTCTATAAAACAAATATACAATGTTAATGTTTGAGCTGTCTGATATTGATTCGTTGGGTATTAAGCTTTGCTCTATTGTGAATTGTTTTCTAAGGCATTTCATTAAATTCTCATAGTATTCTAAAACTTCTATATTTGAAATAAACTGCCAATTTTGATTATTATTTTGATGGAAAAGGATTTCGTTATAGTTATTGTAATAAAAAATGAATACTTTAATTGATTTAATTGAGCCTATTATTAATCTTAAACTATTTAAATCATCATAAAGTGGTTTTAAATCTTGTTTTAATTCATCATGAACCATTTCTATTACTTTTAAATTTTCTATTTCTAATAACCCTTGGATTATTTGTACTGAACCAAATTCATAAAATACCTTTTTAAAATAATATTTCAATACACTATTGTTATCAATAGTGTTATCTTTATTATTATTTTTTAAAAAATTATTTATAAATTTATAAAAATATATTATTTCTATTGAGCTATCATAAATTTTATTTTCAAACATCTGATAATCTATTTTTGTTTTATTATCAAATGAATAATAAATATATATTATTTTATATATTATTATTTTTAAATTATTAATATTATTTTTAAATTTATTAATGTTATTATCAATATTATTATTATTATTACTATTATTTGTATCATTTATAGAATTGGTTAAGGTAGGTGAGTTGTAAGAGTTGAAAGAGTTGTAAGAGTTGTAAGAGTTAGTGGTGACTACTGTGCTATTATCATTTATTATATAGTTTATTATTGATAAAATTGTAAGTACATTTGATTGAAGTTGATCTTCATCGAATACATAGGACTTGATTTCATTTAAAATTGAGCCAAAGTCATTGGAATCTATTTTGTGGTTTGTTAAAAGATTGTATTCACTTTGTATTTTATTAAGAATTTTATTATTATTATTATTATTATTATTTTTAATGTCTGAATTGATTTTAAATAATAATTTTATTAGTTTTATAGTTTGTTTGAGATTTAAATTTGAAATGCCACTTTTGAAAATTTTATCACTAAAATTACTTTCTAATTCAAAATTATGATTTTCTTTTAAGTAGTTGAGTATTTTAATTCCTTCGAGCGATTGATCCAGACCGCCATATTTTAAATGAGAGTATTGCTTAATAATGTTTAATATTTCATTGCTCTCGATATTATATTTCTTTATGTATAATTTCAATGCTACTAAATTTGGACATTTGATAAATGACACAATTTCCTCTGGTATCGTTAAATAATTATTGAAAAGTTGGTTGTAAAATATGATATTCTCTTGATTGTTTTTAGTGAATTTATTATATACTGCATCTAAAGAACTCTTTATTAAAAAACTAGATGATTTGATTTTATCTTTAATAATTTCATTTCCATTACTAAACGATTCGATAATATGTTTTGCATCTATTAATCTTTCATAGCTGTAAACTGTTTTATATTTAAAATATGAAAATATTTCTTGAAATAATATTTTATTTCTAAAAATTTTAAAGAATAATATATCTATTTTATTCATTTTTAAAAAAAAAAATACACAAATTAAATGATTATCAAAAAAATTAAAAAAAATTAAAAAAAAATAAAAAAAAAAAATTAAAATAAACACAAAAACTTTTTATATGAAATTTTAATATCTTTTTAGAAATTGATTTTTGTGATTATTTTTTTGAATATTTATTAATTTAATAAATATTTATAAAGAGTGTTTTTTAAAGTTTATTTAAATATTTTTCTTTATGAAAATCTATTCTATAAATTTTATCTTTGTCCCTTAATAATACTTTTAAAGTATCCTCATTAATAATAGTGTGATACTGCAGTAAATTAATTATTTCAATATTATTTGAAACAATTGAGTCTTGAATTATACATTTAAAATCGTTGTCATCTATTAAAACTAAATTTTCCATATTATTATTATTATTATTATTATTATTATTATTATTATTATTATTATTATTATTATTATTATTATTATTTGATTCCCTACTAACTTCGCTATTTGTATTATTTATATTATTATTATTATTTCTATAAAATTTCTTTTAAAATTAAACTATTAAAATTTAATAATAATAGTTTAAAAACTTTTATATTTCCAATGGAAGCTGAAAAACGCAACATTTGAATAATTCTATTTTTGAATGATTTTTTAATGGTTGCTCCTGTGGGAGAGTTATCGGAATAGTTGAAATAATGATGAATCATACTTTTTAGAAACTCTGATTCAATTAAAATTGATGAGCTGCTTGATAATAATATTTCTGTATTTGGTTGTAAATTTTCAAATAATTGAATAGCTTCACTCATACGGCCACTATATAAATAAAAACACATTAAATGTTCTGGTGAAAATTCAAACTGAATAGTTTTATCATTTTCTTTTTTTTTTTTTTTATTGTAACACCCATTATAATGACCTTTTGATTGTTTTACTTGAACCTTGGGACAATTAATAGTTGGTAAATATTGATCTGCTACTATATTTGTGTTTGATGATGATTCATTATGATTATGATTATTATAATTATTATGGTTATTATAGTTATTTTGCTGTTCTTCATGATTATTATCACTATAACTTGTTAACTCTTTTAAATAATTATTTGATATCCAATATATTAATTTGAATGGTATTATAGTTGGTAAAAGATTAAAATTAAACTGTTTGATTTTAAATAGTTTTAGAATTGAAATGAATAAATCCTCTTTAGTCATATCATTTTCTACTATTGGAAAATAAGATTCGATTGAAAACTGTTGAGAGAATTCGTATACTGAGGGCGATTCCGATTGCAAAGCTCTATAAATTACTTCTAGTGGGATTGTACTCTTCAAATCGTGGCACTTTAAGAAAAACTTGAATGATTTGGATGTAAACATTAACTTGTTTATAAAAATCTTTCTCTTGATACTTTTCATTAACTTTTCTAAATGTTCTATAACCTGGAAACTTGAAATGTATTGCCAAATATCGGTATGCTTTTTAAAAAATAAGTCTTGGTAATTATTAAAAAAGAATTCTAACACCTGGGTACTCTTGATACTATTTATAATCTTCATGATGAATGTGCTTTCTAAATAACTTTCAAACTGATATCGATAGTTTGAATATATATATTCGATAAATTCTATATTATTTGATTCTATAATTGATGCCATTGTGGTTGAGAATTCAAAATCTTTTAATTGTTTGAAACTTGATAAAAAGGTTATTAATTGATTACATTTTTGGCTGCTATGAGATATAGTGACGCTATTTGTAGGATTATCGTTTACTAAAATGTTGAATAATAACAATAAATCTATTCTATTATATAATACTAAATCGTCACATATGCTTTCTCTTTCGAACGATGGTATATGATTTTCCCCGGTTGTAATTATTATTAATTTTATTATATTTAATATTATATATTTTAATTTTATTAGTTTATTTATTTTATTATTATCTAACTGTATAGATTCTAATACTAATATGATTGATTTATTAATTATACTATTATTACTATTTAAATACTCTAAAAAATTTAAAATTTCTAATAATTTCAAATAGCTAAATTTTAATTGATCATTATTAAATTTAAATAATTTAATTTCGTTTAATATTTCTATAATTTTATCATTATTACTATCTTGATTATAACTATTTTTATTATTATTTTCAATTTTTGTTATAAATTTTATAATTATATTATTATTGCTATTATTATTATCGTTGTTATTATTGCTATTATTATTATTATTATAATTAAAATCTATTAATAATATTTTAAATAACTTTATTAATTTATTTAGTGTTAATTTTTGTTGAAATATAAAACTGATATTTATTAATAATTCATTTTTATTAATAGAATAGTATTGATTTAATATTAAAAACTTTAACATTTTAAAGGATTGATATGATTTGATTATAAATGAACTATAATAATGATTTACTATATCTGTGGTTTGATTGTTATTTAAACTAAATTTATTTATATAAACTTTAAACGCTATTATATTTGAATTTTTTAAAATGAAAATTAAAGACTCTAAAGGATTGTCTATAAAGTATTGGGGGTAATTTGAATAAAGTTGCTGGTAAAACTCTGTATTCTCCTTGGTGTCCTTTCTGATGGCTTTATAAATTGATTCTAAGCTGTTGTAGGTTAAATAATTGGCGCTCTTTACTTTATCCCTTATTATTGCTATTCCGTTGCTAATATTTGCAGAATTCAATATAAACTCTGCATCCATTAATCTATCATAATTATATAATTTCTTGAACACGAAATTTGAAAATATCTTATTGAACAAAAACTTGTTTCTAAAAACCTTCCAAAAAAGCAATTCTCCAATCTCTAATCCCTCTTTAATTGCTAATTGCGGCTGTTGTTGAAACTGATATAAATTTTCATTCATTTCTTTTTCTTCTCTTTTTAAATTCTCCATCATTGTAATATATTTTAAAATATAGGTATATTTTGAATCTATTGAGACATCTTGATCTTCTGTGTTCTTTCCATCTGTGTCACCCCCTCCCTTATTATTATACTTTATTATTCCTAAAGAATCTATAATATTATCCAATTCATTATTATTAATTTTATTTTTATTTATATTTTTAAATTTAATTATTATTGAATCTATATCTAAATTATTATTATAATTTATCATTGATATTATGTGTTTATAATAAAAAAAATAACAAAAATAAAAATAAAAAAATAAAAATAAAAATAAAAATAAAAAAACAAAAAAAAAAAATTTTATTTTTTGAAAAAATGAAAAAAATAAAAAAAAAAATAAAAAAAGATTTATTAAAAAAAATCATTTATTTTATCATTATAACTTTTGACCATTTGTATAAATTCTTCTTTTAAATCTTGATCAACAAAATCACTATTTAAAAGCAATTCTTTAATTTCAACATTATTTGAGAACAATGCATTTGCAAAAATATTTGAAAGAGTGGTTGAATCTAAAAGAGTTTCGTCATTTTTAATTGATTTTTTAATAAATAAATTCTTATATTTAGCATTTAAGATATTAATAAAAAAATAATTGTTACCAGTACTTGATGCAAATTCTAAAAAAGAGCAAATAATATATTTTAAATTATCTTTTAAACTATTATGAAATGTTAATGCCAAGTTTTTTGAAATAACCACATCTTCTATTTGTTTTTCTAGCTCTACCATTAGTGTTTGTCCAACTAGTTGATTTAAATATTTTTTTTGAATCTGTTGATCTATTAGATATTCTTCTAGCTTTTCTTGAAACTTTTCTTCAATTTCTAATAAATTGAAATATTCATTGGTTATGAAGTCTAAAAAATCATTGATAAAATGAATGGTAATGTGATTTGTTTCTTCAAAGTCAAAATATTGGAAAGTTTCTGGATGAATTCTTATAATTTCTATTGCATTATTAAACTGCTTACTGTATAAAAATGAAAAAAATAACTGGACCGATGAAACTAATAGCTGAGAACCACTGTTTAATTCTATTGAAAATTTTGAAAATAAAATGGTGGGGTGTGGGGATATCTTTTTTAAATTTTGACCTATCCAATTCAACACTTTGAATGGGCAACCTAAAAGCAATTGTAAATCAATATCGTCTCTATATTTGAGTAAAGTTTTCAAAAGAGATAGAATAGAATCTTGATTTTTTATTGCCTTAAAGTAATTCATATTTATTATTTTTGAATATGTATGGATATTAAATGTATCGGATAAAAGATATATTGATTGGGAACTAGTTGAACCATAGTAGTTTTCTAATGCTCTTTCGAGTAATATAATTTCGTTTGTATTACTTGAAAAATTATGAGTGTATGAATTGACTAATAGGGTTTTATCATTATTTGCAAATATTTGTTCATAGCTTTCTACCACTTGTATATTTGATGCAAACTTCCAATATTCACTTCCATTGTTAAAGAGAGCACAATTTTTATAATACTGAAAGAAAAACTTCAAGACATGTGAAGATTTAATGGATTGCATAATAAGAATTAAATTTTGTATATTTAGTGACCCAAAAAATGAACTAACTATAAAACAGTCTTGAAAGTGTGCTTCCAATAGCTTGACATTATCCAACTTTATTAATGCTAACAAGACCTCTATTGTTTCGCTGAATGTGTTATATAAGAATGGGAAATATCTTGAAATAATTAAATATGCACTCTGAGCAGAACCTTGATCAAAGCTATTTATTACAAAACGAAAGAAAATAAATACTCTCTGAATTGAGGGTATAGATCCTAAATCATCACAAATTTGTTTTTTCATTTCAATTCCCATGGTCTCTTTTGAAACTTGAAAATATAACCTCGTTAATTTTAACATTTGTATTTTTAGTTGAATTGAATTCTGCACAAACTTTTCTATTTCATCGTTGTTGATATCTGACAAAATACATTCTTTCCATAAAGATATAAAATTCAATACTACTAATTGGTCTATAAAAGTACTGCTCAGTTGCTCTTTGTTAAATTGAAAAGAATCTATCAGATCATTGTAGTAGTTACTTTTCCCTTTCCCTTTTACTTTTCCTCTGTCCTGACATAACTCTGTATTAACTTCTTTATTTTTAGAAACATTTACTATTCTACCAAATTTTATTATTGATAAATATCTATAATACAACTCCATAATAATCATTTCACAAGGTAGGTTGATCATGGAGGTAATAAATTGGTTGATTAACTTGTCATTTTTTATTTCTTTGGATCGATTTTTAATCTGAGAATCTACCGACTTTATTTGAATAAACAATTTTAAAAGTTCTATTAATTGACCTAATGTAAGATTAACTTTTCTTATCTGAAATAAATAATAGTAAATATCTATTATTTTATTGAAATCGATAGTATTTCCTCCAGTATTATATGTTAATAGTAAATAGTGGACAAATTGAAACGATTTAAAATCATAAATATTATATTTAAGCTGTTGATAATTATTTAATTCTGGATCATCTGATTGATTATAGTATCTATTTATTATTGAGTCCAACTGATTGTTTTTTACATTGAATTTCTTTATGTACACTTTGAATGCAACTATATTTGATGTGTCTATTATTAATGGAAGTGATATCTCTGGTATTTGGAAATAGGGGCTATAGTTGCTAAATAACTGATTATAAAACTCTTCATTCTCTTCAGTGCATTCATATATTTTATCAAAGAGCAAACATTGACCTCCACATGCAAACCTCTCACCATTTTTCACTCTTTCTCTTATAACCTTGATACTGGTTTCTTCATTTGAAAATCTATCAAATATTTCACCATATTTAATTAATTTTTCATATTGAGTATTGAAAATATAAGACCTAATATTGGAATTTCTAAAAACTTTCCAAAATAAAACTTCACTATTTAACTGATCCATTTTGAGTTGAAATAATATACATTATGAAAGATTTTTTTTCCTCATTATTAATAAATAGTGATTTTTTTTTTAAAAAACAAAATATTTTTTTTTTTAAAAAACAAAATTTCTTTTTTTTTTTTTTTTTCAATTATTTAATATAAAATCATGATTTTTATTTTAAATATTTTTTTATTTTTTTTATTTTTATAAAATACAAAATTATTTATAATTTTATTTTTTATTTTAATTTTTTATTTTTTTTTATTATTTTAGAATTTTGTTATTATTCTATACTTTTTTTTTGCTTTGTATTTTTCAGGTAAGAGAGAAAATGAAAACTTAGGTCACCCCCTTTTCATAACTTAGGTTTAGAAGATTGTCACAAGAAATTTTTTTTTTTAATTTACAACCATTTAATAAGGAGGGATGAACAGAAGAATGCCGTCAAGAAGTTTTAATATTTTTACAAATAGGAACAAAGATGGATCTTTACCCAAATTTATTTTACCGACATTCCTCCCTATTATATGGGTTTTGTTGATAATGAAAAAATCTTAGTTTTATTTATATATTTAGTTATTACTTGATGCAGGCTCTAAACCACTAGATATCTTTAATAAGTAATTCTGCTCCTATTTTCTATTTGGGCTTGTTACATAAGGATATATTATATGTATTTTTAAATAATAATAAAAAAAAAATTAAAAATATGAATTTAAATTTTTATCTTTTTTTTATTTTCAGATTTTTAAAAAAAAAAAATACTCAATAAAATTATAGTCTAGATTGAACTTTGTTTTAATATTTAACCATGTTTATAAATAAAAAAGTACTTTTGCCTCATCCCCTCAATTAATTTTTTTTTTTTTTTTTTTAGCTAAAAAATATATTTATTTTATATAATTAATTTTAATTTTGGATATTAACTTTTTATGTTATTTGTAGTTCATCTATACATGGTTTTGTTTATTTTTAAGCTTTATATTTATTTGTGCCATAGTAAAGTCGAATTTTAAATGAAAATATCAAAGCAAGGGTAGGAAAGCCTGGTTAAATCCGTGTGACTTAAGATCTCATCCTGTCGGTTCGCGAGTTCGAATCTCGCCTCTTGCAATACTTTATATTAAAAATCTCTTCCGGGTGATTTTTTCCCTCCAAAAAAATAGTCATCATCCACAATTCCCAGTCGATCCATAATTCTAGCACTAGAATTCAAGCAATTTATATAAATTTTTTGAAGTTAACATCAACGATCACAAAAACTAAAACTACGAGAATTCAGAAAATAAGATTGATAGATTTAAATTAGAAACATTATAAAAAAAAAAAGCAGAAATAATTTTAAGCTTTTTTATTTATAAACATTTTATTTATATTTTAAAAAAATATTTATTATATTAAAATATATATTAATATATAAAAAAGAAAAGTCATCACCTGGAAGATAAAATGAATAAGCGAAATAAATATCGTTTTTACACATCCTTGGAAGTTGTTGGACAAGATTATTCTCCAACCTAAAAACTTAATTGCTCACTCCATATTCGCATTTTAACTCACGGACCAATTTGGTCTTTAATGAAGTTATTATTGGTAGCGCAATAATTTTTACAAATTGAAACTATTTTCAAAAAAAAAATTATATTTTGAGCATATAAACTTTTATTTTATGGGAAAAACTAAACAATACAAGTTATTTTTTAATTAAAAATTATATTAAAAAAAAAAAGTGTGTGGTGGGATTATAATTTAATTTTTTATTATTTATTAATTTTTTTTTTTTTTAAAAAATTTTTTTTTTTTCTTTTTTTTTTTTTTCAATCATTCTTTATAATTTAAAAAATAACAGAAACAAATAAAAAAAAAACTATTAAAAAAAAAAAAACTTATTAAAGGTGGAGATTATAGGGATGAGCTTACCTCGAATCGGGTTAGAAATTAGAAGAGATTATTGGACAGTGATTGGTATGAAAAATATAAAAGCTTTAGAAACTGCCCACAAGAGATACTCCGGCTACTCGTGCCACTCCCAGTTTGCAATCAATTTTAATTTCAAAATTCATTGCATCTTCTAAAGTTGGTTTTTAATAAAGCTGTAGATTGGTTTTAAATCATCTATTTCGATAATTTCAAAGGCTGCAATGATAAAATTAGATGTTATGGGTAATGAAATAAACAATTATTCATATTTTTTTGGTAATAATAAATTTAAATAAACAAATTTTATTTTTTTAATTTATATTTTAAATTTCTTTCATTAATTAATTATAGGGAAAAAAATTAGTCTAAGTTTGATAAAAAAAAAAAGTTGTTAATTTATTTTAAAACTTTGAAAAATAAAAAAAAAACTAAAACTTAGAAATTGACTTTATACTAAAAAATGGAACTAATTGACCCCGAACTAAGAAACCCCCTTTTTTTCAAAAAATAAACTAAATTTTTTTCCCTAGGAATTACATCTGATGTAAAATTATAATATCCTGAAACTCCACATGGTCGAGAAAGAAAAATAAATTTAAATATAAATACATAAATTCTTCTTTTATATTGAATTTTTTGATTTTTATTTTAAATAAATATTTTGTTTTTTTTTCCTTAATTATTTGTATTAATTGAAGAATGATTTTTTTCTAATAAAATTTTAATACCATCAGCATATTGGAAAGCCTCAGTGTTGTTAAAGTATTCTGTAACATCCAAAGCAATGGCACAAGATTCGCTAACAATTGGTTCTTTATCGTGTAAAAGTTTTTCGAGGAGTGGTACAGTTTCAGTTGAGGCGATAGCACCTAAAGCTTCAGCAGCTTCGTGACGAACCATAGCAGATTCTGATTCATCTAAAACACAGGTAGTTAAAGAATCGATGGCGGCACGATGTTGAAGTTGACCTAAAACAAAGGCGACTTCATGTTTTAATAATGCACTGCTATCTTTGAGACCTTCACATAATGCTAAAACTGATTTTTCATCACCACAATCACGAAGTGAAAATAAAGCTCTATAACGATTGAAAATATCTAATTCTTGATTTAAAAATTGTTTGCAAAGTGATTCGTGATTGGTGCCAGTTGGAAGTGGTGGTGCTGGATCAACTGAAAGATATACTTTATTATCAATTGATTCTGGTTCATTTTCTGTATACCATTCTACTCTTGATAATGCTAGTTGACATGTTTCTGAAACTTCTCTAACTTTATCTGTTGAATGTTCTTTTAATGTTTCTAATGCAATTGGGTTACCAATAGCACCTAATGCTTCTGCTGCTTCATGACGAACCATTGGATGTTCATCATGATTTTTAACCAAATCGATTAAAACTGATAATGCGTGATCATTTTCCATTTGTCCTAAACAATATGCAATTTCATGTCTTAATAATGCTGATTTATCATTTAATGCTATTTTAAAATAAAATATGATTTTAGTATTTATGCATGGTTTAAATTTTTTATTTTTTTTAATTTTTAATTTTTAATTTTTTTATTGTTCATATTTTTAATTTTATTTACCTTCGCACATAGCATCAATAGATAATGGACCATTTAAATTTCTTAATGTAAATAATGATCTAAATCTTTTGGCGATTGGTTCATTAACATCTAATAATGTCTTTTTTAAACCATTAACTAATTCTGGGGTTACTTCGATTTTTGGTGTAGTTTCCATTATTTATAATGTGTATATGTATAGATTTATTAGAATACAGAAAAAAAAAAAAAAACTATTATATAGTTTGGTAATAAAAAAAATAAAAATAAAAATAAAAATAAAAAAAAAATAAATTAAAAAAAAAACGAAAAAAATTTTATAAAAAAAAAATAAAATTTAAATTACCAAAAAAAAAAAAAAATAGTTAAAAAAAAAACATTAATCTTAATCAAAATTAGATATTTTATAATCATCTTATCTTTCGTAAATTTACCTAATATTTATGTGTAAAAAAAGAGTGTGTTCATAATTGGTTATTTAAAAAAAAAAAAAAATAAAAATATTAAAAAATAAAATATTATAAAGTATAATTATTTTAAAAAGAAAAAGAACATTTTCATAAAAGTATTAATCAAAATTAAAAAGTTAATAAACTAAATTTAAACTATTGTAATAATGATCACTTTCACAAATTATTTTATATTTTTTTTTAAATTTTTTTTTTTAATTTTCATTTTTTTATTTGTTTTATTATTTAATAAAAAAAACAATATATCTGTTGACAACACATTTACATTTTTGGTGGTGGCATAAGGTTTTTTGCCACCACACCGGTTTTCAACCTAAAAAAATAGGAAAAGTAAAATTTATATAATGTGATGTTATTTATACTTTTAATTAATGAAAAAAAAAAAAAATTGAATTATTAGTATTTTAGAGATTTTTTTTATTTTATAAAGAATGAAATAAATCATTATATTAGAAAAAAAAAAATTTCTCCATCCCCAAAACCAATACCAAAATCAAAATCAACTCCATCCTCAAGACCAACACTTGGACCTAGACCTAGACCAAGAACAAGAGCAAGAGCAAGAACAAGAACAAGACCAACTCCAATACTTACATCACCAACACCAATACCACTGCCAACCCCACAATCAACACCAAAACTAAAATCAACTAAAATCGGTTCAAAGAAATTTTTATGAAACACTTTGCACGAAGCTATCGTATTACTTTTTATGGGAAAAGCTTTATTAGCTAAAAAACCCATTTATATATTTATTCCTCAATTAATACCAAAAACTATTATGAATAGAAAAGAAAACTGTCCAAAAGTAAAAGAAACAATATCAGGTCGTATAGATATAAATATTTGAAGGTTTTTACCACCCAAAAAAAGAAATACAAATAGTTAAGCAGTCAATAAACGGAAATGGTGGCATTAATGACAATAGTATATTTTCAGATTCAGATAAAGATGAAAAAGAAAAAGAAAATAGTAAAAAAGTTGTAGTTATTCAAAAGCAAGTCGATTCAGATTCAGATTCAGATAGTTGTGATGTTTTGTTATATTTCTATTTAAATAAAAAAAAAAACTTTATTTTTAATTTTTTTTAATAGATAAATATACAGAGGCAGATGGTTTGTTGATATCCTTTTTTTTGTTATATAGTTGGATGGTTTCGTATAGAATGTCATTGTTTTCTAAATCTGAAATGTCAATTGTAGCTTCGCCAATAAAATCACTGCTTAACAAATCTTTATCGTGCATTTCTACAACCAATGTTTTAATTTCATTCAAGTCAATATCTTCGTTTGTTTCATAAGACCATGAAGGTGATAAAGTTTCTTTCTTTACTGGTGTTTTAAGGATCCACTTTACTTTACCATCAGAATCTTTTTTACCAATTCTTACAAATGGGTCAGCTAAACCATTACTATCATGTGCTTCTTCAACTTTGCCAGTAATAATAAAAAAGTTAATTCTAGATTTATTAGAATCTTTTTTTCCACTGTCGCCTAAAGGACCTTTTTTACCACCCAAGTTACCTAAAAATAAATAAAAAATAAAAAATAAAAAATAAAAAATAAAAAAGCATTAATATTATTTTATTTTAATAAATTTAAAAAAAAAAAAAAAATATTAAATAAATATAAAATTATAAATATTTTATTATTACCTTTTTTTGTTTGTTCTTTAATAATATCATTATAAATTGACATTTTACTTTATTAATTAAATTAATTAGAGAGTGATCGAAATAAAAAAAAAAAATTTTATATTCAAAATTTTCATATTTTTTATTTTTTATTTTTTTTTGATTAAAATTAATTTTTTTTTGATTTTTGATTACTTTCACACTTTTATAAAATGTGTATTTTTTTGTGCATACCTATTTTTTAGATATTTTAAAAATTATTGTAATCGGTTATAAAAAAAAATTTTGTGAAAATTATTATTTTAGATATTTAAAAAAAAAGTTTGAAAATATTTATAAATAATATTATAAAATAATTTTGAAATAACTTTTTATTTATTTATTATCGGAGATTCTATTTTTTTTGATTTGTTTAATTTTTCCATAAAATCATTAAATTCGTTTTCATTTACCACTTTAAAATTAATATCTGGAATTGGTTGTAATGATTTTAAAATTGTTCTTAATTTTTTTGAATTTTCTTCTTTTTTATCTTGCATAAATAAAAACTCTTCCTTCATACCGCTATTATCTATAATATTATTACTATCTATGTTGTTTTTATCATCATTAATATTATTGTTTTCTATATTATTATAGTCATTATTATCATCTGAATTATTTAAATTAAATAATGTTTGTTCAATTGAATTATTGATAATCAATTTCTCAACTGTAACTGGTTTAGTTTGACCTATACGATGAGCTCTCTTGATTGCTTGTCTTTCTTTTGAGATATTCCATATTGGTATTGGGTCAACGAAAATAATATGATTTGCAGCAGTCAAATTGATACCATACGCAGCTAAATCTACATTCATTACAATAATTTTATAATCTTGATTGGTTTGAAAAGAGTTGATGGTTGAGGATCTTTCACGTAATGATTGATGTGTATTGTAAACTAAATATTTTAAATTGGTTTTAAATTTTAATGACCATTCGATTTCATATAGCGTTTCATTAAATTGTGTAAATACTATTGTCTTAATTGGATCTTCCTTTGCGTCTAGTTCTTCCAATCTTTGAATTAAATATTCTAATTTACATGATTTAAATTCTTCTTGTATTTGTTGATGTTTTTCTTTTTCTGATGCATCCTCATTCTTTTTAATTTTTTTAACTGTATCATTATCTTTAATAATATTTGTTAAATAATTGGTATCTTTTTCTTTTTCTTTTTCTTTTTCTTTTTCTTTTTCTTTTTCTTTTTCTTTTTCTTTTTCCTTTTCCTTTTCCTTTTCCTTTTCCTTTTCCTTTTCCTTTTCTTTTTCTTTTTCTTTTTCTTCATCAATATTAAATTGAACTCTTTTTTTGGTTTTGTTTTGTATGTCGGGTATTAAACTATTATTACTGCTATTATCTACAGTATTGGTACCAATATTATCTATATTGTTTTCATTATTACTAATATTGTTTATACTATTTAAATTATTGATTGGTAGTTTAAATTTATTTAAATAATCTTGATGCTTTTTTGAAATAAAATTAAAATAATTATAAATTGATAATAGTTTGTATTTATCTTTTAATGGAATGACTGTATTTGATTTTAAAAGTGCATTTTCTATTGATTCTCTTGTATTTTTTCTACTTTCTTCAGTTTGAAATTCGGAAAAGAAACATGATTTACGTAAGTTTTTAATAGCTATCATTGCAAAGGTTTGATTTTTGCTCGAGTATAGGGAATCTGGACCTTCATATTGAGATGCTAAAAGATTGGTCAAAATAATACAAGCCAGCTCATTATAGAGGCAAATTTGATTTGGTTCCATGTTTAGTTTTTTTGTGGAGATTGTTAATGGTGGTAATACTATATCGTTTTCAATTGATTTTAATGGTGTTCTAACTCCAATTCTATTCATAACCTCTGAAACTCTTTGAATACCTTCAATTTTAAATTTATTAATTGGCTGGGTAATGATTTTGCTATAGGTGGTGCTTGAGTCATTGTATGGTTCTACCTGAAGAAAACATAGTAATGATTTCAAGTTTATCAACTCTTGACTTAAAAGAGATGATGATATTGGGGTACCACTACATATCCATCTTCGTTCTGATAAAATAATATTTGAAAACTCTGTAAGATTTGAATTGGTGCTTCCTATGGTGTGACCTTCATCGATAATAATTCTTAACCAATAGATTTGAAGGAGCGGGTTGATATCACTGTTTAAATAGTCGTCATCATCTTCTTCATTTGCTGTCTGTGTTCTAGATGATTTGTATAGTGAGGAAGTGGTATTTTGTTTTGATTTAATATTTGATAAAATCTTTGAGTTACTAATTTTTGTATGTGTCAATAGAACAACATCATATTTTACAAGTTCGCTAGCTGGTGGAATGTTGTCTTTATTTTCAATTAATAAATATTTGATTCTTGGGTGGTACATTAATTCGAATGACCATTGTTCTAAAATTGGATTGGGTGCAATAATGAGAGTGGTTGAAGAGCATATCAGGTCCCTAATTTGAACAGTTTCGCTTGATCTTGAATTGTAGCCATGTGAATTTTTAATGATGGTGATTTTAGTTGATGGAATTTTACCAATGTCATTTTTAATGACATCTGAAATTGGATAAGCCAAAAAGGGTACACCCATCATCTTTATAGAACGCATGGCCAGGTAGGATAGTGATTTAATTTCTCTTGAGTTTGGTTTGGTCTGTGATGGATATTGCACCAACCAATTATGGCTATTTGTTGGCACTCTTGAATAGGAACCCAAAGTTGACAATACTAATGCTATACAAATAATAGTTTTACCAGTACCCATCTCTTCACATAGGATGCCGCCTCTAATATCATTTAGTTTTGGTAATTCCTCGACCTTTTTTCTTTCGCCAGTTAGAAGATTTTCAATTAGTAATAGTCCATCCCTTTCCATTTCACCGTCATCGCTAGTTGCATCATGTACTACTTTCCACCTTGGATCTGCATACTGTTTTATATTAATTTCTCTATCGATCATTCTTTGTAGTGATAGTTTTTGGTAATTATACAATTTCTTTTTTTGATTTAAATAAATTGGCTCCACTAATGCATATTGAGGTAACTGAGAGTGATGATAGCTTTCAGTTTTTGGAGGTGGTGTAATGTTTTCTAATATATAGTCAAATTTGAATGCCTTCTTTTCATCCTCCGATAGCGAATCAAATAAATTCCTTGTTTCTTTATATTTCTCTTCTTTTTTAATTTCTTTTAATGGCTTTTCAATAATTTTCTCTTCTTTGGCAACCTTAGGTCTCTTTGATTGTTGCTGTTGCTGTTTATCTTTATATTCAATTATTTTAAAGATTCTATTTGTCAGTGGTTTTCTTTTCTTTGAGTTACGACTTGTCAAAACTTGTTTCAATATAGTTTGATCATTTGTGATTTTGTGTGTCAATAAATTAATTATTTTATGCAGTGCTGAATTTTCAATATTGGGTAATTCTGTTTCTATTCCATTTTTTATTATAAAAATATTATTTTTTTGAAATATATATAATAAATTATCTATAAAATCTTGTAGTTTATTATAAAATATATTATTTTCAATTTTATTGAATAGATTTTTTACAGAATATTTAATTTTTATATTTAAAATTTCATCATAATTAAAATTATCTGTATTGTTATTATTATTGTTATTATTATTGTTATTATTATTATTATTTTTTTCTATGTTGATATTATCTATATTGTCACTGGTTTCATCGATTGGAAATTTTAAACCAGCTGATTTAACATTCCTTGTTAATGCAATAATAGGTTCATCTTCAATTGAATCCACATCGATGTTTGAATTTTCTCCATCAATTTCATAATTTGATGCTGTATTATCCGAGGCTGTGATACTGTTATTATTATCTATATTATTATGTAAATTGTTATTGTAAAATAGGATTTCTGGTATTATTAATTTACTGTCATATGAAAAAATATTTAAAAAATAACTGGGTAGATTTATTGTGTTGTTATTAAATATATATGACTCTGGAATTGACATCAAAGCTTTGGTGTAAGTAAATAAAACCTCTTGCCAATATGATTTATCGCAATTATTATTATTATTATTATTATTATTATTCATTTTTTATAATTTGTTAAAAGTTTGTTTATATTATTATTACTACATAAACTTTCCACTTAGCGATAACTGTAAATTATTCGAAAATAAATGAGAAAAAAAAAAATTTTTTTAAAAATTAAATTTTTTTTTTTTTGGTTTTTATTAAAATTAAATTGATATAATTTTTTTTTTATTTTTTTTAATTAAATTTTTTTGTTTTTTATTTTTTATTTTTTTTATTTATTTATATTTATTAAATTATTTGCAAACGGATGGTTTATTAAATACAGATGGATCTTCAATATAATCTTTGGTATTAAAAAACTTAAAGTGGAGACCAGCATATTTATTAGTGATCGAAATTGGTAAGCAAGTATCTGAGGTGGTTACAACTGTGATGCCATTGGATGGATTAGAGAAAATATTTTCACCAGAATCAGTCTTAACGAATGGAAGGCCATACTCTTCGCCAAAGCATTGATAGTTCCAATAATCAGGTCCGGTTTCATAGCAAGTATTTTCGAACCTATTATAGACCCATTCTCTACCGGTAGTTGTCATGTTTGTATAGTAACTAAATGTAGATTCACTTTTAGTAGAGTATATAGAATCGATTCTTACTGTCATCTGTGTAGCGTCATAGTAATAATTCTTTTTAAACAATTTACCATCAGAACCCATACTTAGTGCTGTACCTGACCATTGATCCGGTACACAACATTTAAAAGATTCAATTTTTTTAACACTTAATAAAACAAATAAAACTAATAAATAAATAATTTTCATTTTTATTATTACTCTGACTATTTTTATAAATTTTAGTTTTATAAAAAATATGACATTAATAAAAAAAAAAAGAAAAAAAAAAAAAAAAACAGAATAAAAAAAAAGAAAAGAAAAATCTAATTGATTAAATAAATAATCCTGGATATTATTTATGATAGAGCTTATTAACGAACCATATTTCGAAGATTCCAACTAAATTCTTTTTTTTAAAGTTGGAACCAAAAAAAAAAAAAATATAAAAAACTCCAGGATTGGGAAAATGACAAAAGAATCTTTTTTTTTTAAATAATTTTTTTTTTTGTTTAAAAGAATCTTTTTTTTTTTTTTTTTTTTTTTTTTTAATTTAAAAAGAATCTTTTTATTTTATTTTTAAATATTTATTTGTAAATAGTAACTTTTAAAAATGTTAAAGTATTTATTAGGTTTAATATTGGTTTTACAACTTACCAATAGCGCCTTTGGACATTTATGTCTTTTCGATCCACCACAAAGAAACCCAAATTGGGCTGTACCAATTGATTCCGGTGATAATGCTTGCTTTAGAGTTCGTGGTAATTGTGGTAATGTAACATCTGGTGCTCCAGTAGCCATATACAATGCAGGTTCAACCATTAATGTATTTTTCCAACAAAACTATAATCATTGGTATGCTGAAAATCCAGGATTTTTAGATATATCGATTTCATATGATGGTGATAACGGTGATTTTACATTATTATCACCACAAATTGATGACTATAATGCTTGGGATATGGTTACTCAAACCAATTATACAGTTCCAGTATGTATTTATATAATAATAATTATAAAAATTTCAAGAAATAATATTAATATTATCTTTCCTATATTATTTAACAGGTTTCACTCCCAAATAAACCATGTAAAAACTGTGTTTTAAGAGTTAGATATATTTGTAATAATCCAGCAGAACCAAATTTCACTCAATGTTCAGACATTGCAATTATATAAATAAATATAATATTGTTTTAAATACTTTGTAAAATAATCTTTAAATATAAATAGAAGATGTTTTTTTATAAAAAAATAAATAATTAATTTTATTTAAAAAAAATATAAATTTTGTTTTTTATAAAATAGAAATAATAAAAAAAGAAATTAATAATAATTGAAATTATAAATAAAATAAAATAAAAAACTTAAAATTAATTTTTTTACTATAGCAATTTTTAAAATAGTTTTAAAATTTTGAAAAAAATTATTTGTAAAGATTTTTTGTTGAAAATTTTTTTTGATAATTTTGATGATTTTTAATTTTTTTTTTATAAATAATTCCAAAATTTTAAAAATAGAAAAAATAAATTAAATAAAATAGCTCTATGTTATAAGATTCTATAATAATGATTTAAAAGAACAAATAATAGAGAATCAAATAAAATATTATCACACACCAGAGAATATTTTCCATATGGGCAAAGAAAATTAAAAAACCCTCTCCTTGGGGAAAAGGAAGGGGGTTTCCTTAAATTTTTTTTTTTTAAAATTAAATTTTTAATTTTTTTTGGAATTTTTTTTTTTCCTTTTTTTTTTAAAATCCCCCAAATAAAAAACCTTTCCAATTTCCCCCCCCCCCTTTACCCCCCAAAAATTTTATTTAAATTCCATTCCCGGAATTTTTTTTTTTTGGGAAAAAAAAAAAAAAAAAAAAAAAAAAAAAAAAAAAAAAAATTTTGAACCTATTATTATTTTAAAACAAACATGAAAATAAATGTATCTGAATATTATTAATTTGAGAGGTATTATTTTAAATTTGTATATTTAAAAATGCAACAATGATAATATAAAATAAAATAAAATTATTAAATAACAATGATAAAAGATACACTGTATTTTCAAATTAAATTACATCAATAATGACAATGATAAAAAAAAATAAAAAAAAAATAATCTTACACACACTGTATATATTATTGTTAAATAGAAATAAATAGAAATTATGAAAAATAATTAAAAATACAATTATCTATTTATAAATATTTTTATTCATTAAATAATTTTAAATATTTTTTTTTTATCCGTTATTTTTTTAAATTTACCTTTAAAATGTTATTTATTGTCCAGATCTTGTTACTCCAGATAGAGGTAGTATGCTCCAGAAACCATTGAAACCTGCTTCTTATATAAATTTTATTTGCAAAAAAATTTTATAATAATTTTTCTCAAATTCTTTTATTTTTTATTTTTTATTTAATTTTTATTAATTTATTTTTTATAATTAAATTGAATAATTAAATTGAACAATTATAGTTCTTTAGGAATGAATATTAAAATAAATATTTATTATACTTTCCTTAAAGTGGTCTTTTAAATTAAATTTAATTATAAAAATTATTATTATAAAATCTATAGTGGCTATATTAGTTAAAAATTATTATTATTTTAATTTTTAATAATAATGTTCGCAATTTCTTATTCCTTTGTAAAAATTTGTTGAGTGTGGTAAATTTCATTTTTTTTAAATTAAATTTTTTTTTTTTTTTTTTATTAAAAATTTTTTTTTTTTTTGGGGGGTGGGGGAAATTTTTTTTTTTTTTTCATTTTTATTTTCGTTTTATCAATATACATTTATTTTTATTTTTTAAAAAAGCTCAAGTGAACAAACAAACGGGTAATTATATATATATAAAATGTGATAAAAATAAATACTAATTTTATTTTTTTTTA